TGAGAACCCGGCGTGCTCCGGCCCGGCTTTGTAGGGATGCGAGGTCAATGGTCTAACGACTACGGCATGCACGACTATGAGTACCCCCCCCCCCCCCTCCGCATCGACCAAGGAAAATGTGAACGTGGCTCCGAGTGCGAACACCGGGTTCATGTAATTGCGGAATGTCTGTTGTACAAGGAGAGGAGATTTTACGTGACTGAGCATTGTGAAGTATAAGGAAGATACAGGGAGATGTTTGAGGTATGGAATACCAGCTAGGTAGCTGTACTGGGGCATAGAACGTGGGTTGAAGAGGCGNCCCCCCCCCCTCCGCACCAGTATTATTTAGAACGGAGATCCCCTCCTCGTCGCTGATCTGAAACTGCCGGTGGGTGGGGTCACCGGACACCGTGAGTCACCACTCACCACCTTCACGAGTTCTTATCTTGCAGCTGCCACATGTTTGGGGGTCTGTTCTTATCCGAAGTGCTTTGTTAAACCACAGATACGGGTTCTTGTTCTTAGGGCCACGTCGGAACTGAGCACGTGTTCTTATGGCCAGCTTCTTAACTTTTGGTTTTTTCGAGGCTGCATTTCTTACCTGCGAAGTTCTTAAGTGCGAGCGCCATCTATCTGTAGTCTATCTAGACTAGTTTGTTTCCTGAACATAAAATAACACTACAACATACAGTAACTTTTATTCGTATTTATTTACGAAATTGATACGATGAGCGGGGCCCTGACTTCAATACTCCGGTGCTCCGGGTAGTCGTCGTCAGTAGAAAATAAACTTCTACTACTACTGTTGTCCATGAGTACATGGTAGTAGCAGCCAACAACATAGAGTATATTTTTTGTAGCAACACGCCGTGACGTACGGTGAATATCACTCAGCCTGTTGTATACAGATGGCGCCCGCACTTAAGAACGCCAAATTTGGCGTGAGGCTCGACACTTATTGGCTGCCTCAACCTCAGCACATGTTCTTATGGCCATGTTCTTGTTCCGATCAGACATTTGGTCGCTGAGAACGGGGCTCTACTTGTTCTTATTTCACCGTCGAGTGCTCCAGGGGCGCACCAGGACGCCCTTTGTTGACTCGCAGCTATGTACATACATCGATACGAAGTGGAAATTGGTGCGGAAAAATAAGTTGCATCATCCCCATACAGCACGTCCATACTTCGCCGTACCATGCCCATACTGTCCATTCACAAGGCACCAAGATTACTGGCCGTCTACTTGGCCGCATGCTTGTACAACAGACTTAGACCGGATCACGCACCGCAGCAGCTATGCTCGCGGTTGAGTACAACTATGGAAACAAACTCCGAAGGCTTCAACCTTCTTGGTCGATAAGGGTCACGTTCGGCCTGCGTTCCCTTCCCGCTCTACTAACGCTCAACGTCGCTGCAGCTCCGCCCCCATCCACCTGCTCGACCGTGCTCTTCCAAGCAAGATCCACGAGCCCACCACCGCATCCGGAACTCCTCTGTACATTTCCAACGGGAGCTTCATGCTGCTCGTACTCTGGTCTAGGTCAAGATGCACACGGTAGTCGTAAAGGTGGCGAGTGCGCTCCTGAGACTTTCGAGTGATCACCCCCCCAAACCACCCCATGCCCAGCCTAACGAGTACTCCACGCTGCAGTAACGAACTGTCAATAGCTGCCGGTGTACATGCTTGAATGCAAAACCCATCCGGAATCTCCATGGCGTGAATCTCGTCGTCGGATTCCATGCTGTCGTCGTCGTCCACAAGACTCAGCTCCTCCATCTGGCCACTGGCCGTCTCTGCAACGACGGGCACAAACGACAATGTCGCAGAAACGGATATGTCATCCACGCAAACATATGTTTAACAGCAAAGGCAAGGGCAAAAGCAACAGGAACAGGAAACGCAACAACAACCAAGCAGGGGAGTGAAAAACCCTGGCGGGCATCCAACTTACCACGAGTGTCTTCGTCGCTAGAATCGCCGTCCTCCACTCCGTCGCCGCTGTGGTCCCCCTCGCCCTCAACCGTCTGGTCATCCCCACCCCCGCACCCATCGTTGCTAGTCTCGGAAGATTCCTCGTCGTCGCTGGAGTCCCCATCGCCCGCGAAGGTGTACGGCTTGTCCAGACCCTCCAAGGTGATTCGATCATCGCCTAAACCGTCGACAGTCATTGCCGTGCCACACTCTTCGAAAAGGCGGAACCNGCCGTCCTCCACTCCGTCGCCGCTGTGGTCCCCCTCGCCCTCAACCGTCTGGTCATCCCCACCCCCGCACCCATCGTTGCTAGTCTCGGAAGATTCCTCGTCGTCGCTGGAGTCCCCATCGCCCGCGAAGGTGTACGGCTTGTCCAGACCCTCCAAGGTGATTCGATCATCGCCTAAACCGTCGACAGTCATTGCCGTGCCACACTCTTCGAAAAGGTGGAACCGGTATTCCTCGCGGCTGTCGAGTTCTTCCATGGCTGCCCCAACCCACTGCGTAATCAGCACGCGCCGGTCAGACGCCGTCAACGAGTTGCTTTCACACAGACGCCGTCAACGACGAGCGGACTTAGGTTCAGCACGCGTGAAGCCGCCAGATTCCAGGTCGATGTCGGGGAGACGCTTCGGCTGGAGGACGAACGAAGCTGCCCCTGTGATGCCATCGATCTTCACGTGATAACAGCGCCCAGGTCCGGCGCGCTCCGACGGCAGGACATCCCCTTTCGCATTGTCTCCCAGCATCCGCTGCAGTCGCTGGCCTTGGAACATGTTTGCCGGCTGTGGTTGGTTTTCATGTGGACTCCAAGGCCTTGTGTGTTCACAAAGGTCGTCGGACCGTGGGGGCATCGCACACGGGGGGCCGGGGCCGGCGATGCAAAACTGACGCCGGACACATACTGCTGCACGCCAGCGCGAGTCCGCAAAACCTACCGACCAATGGGAAAAGATGCGCATGCCATACGTAGGTACACAATCAGCAAGGTTGAAAAAATCCATGCAGCAGACCGGGTGCACCCGATATTACTCTCGCCTACCCGAAAGTGGCTGGGCTATTCGACGCACAGAAGCATCAGGGTGTCGCTTTCGGGTNGGGGCATCGCACACGGGGGGCCGGGGCCGGCGATGCAAAACTGACGCCGGACACATACTGCTGCACGCCAGCGCGAGTCCGCAAAACCTACCGACCAATGGGAAAAGATGCGCATGCCATACGTAGGTACACAATCAGCAAGGTTGAAAAAATCCATGCAGCAGACCGGGTGCACCCGATATTACTCTCGCCTACCCGAAAGTGGCTGGGCTATTCGACGCACAGAAGCATCAGGGTGTCGCTTTCGGGTTGAATACATGTATAGACACATCAAGACCGGAGATGTATGGCACGTTGTTGTGTACGCAGAGGGTCGTTCGTACACAGCAATGCAGCAGCAGCAAGCAGTGGATGCCGTGGTTATGTCTCGATCAAGACCGGAGATATATGACACACTGTTTTGTAGGAAGAGGATCGTACAGTAATGCAGCAGCAGCAAGCAGTGGATGCCGTGGGACCTCGATAATTCTTCCTTGACTTCGACCTCTCGTGAGTACGTGGGAGAGACAAGGAACTGCGGGCTTGCCACAGGAGATGGGGAAAGATAGAGAGAGTGGTGGTACACGCAGCATGAACTCTGTCCTAATATGGCTGGTGGTGAAGTAGCACGCGCCTTGCGCGAGGACCGCGGTGTTCTCTACTTCATCGCTCATATTCTGCCGATGCCAGTCTACCGTTCAGGCATGAGCGCCGAGATTAACCACGATAGACTTGGTGAGTTGAGGAGCGAGATCTACTTCAAACGAGAGTTCCGCCGCGTTGCAGGAGAGAAATCCACTGATCCACTTCACACGAGAGTTCCGCCGCGTTAGCCGTGTTGGGTCCGCCTCCGCCCGCCGTCGGAAGCGTCGGAACTCGAGTGCGGGTAGTTGGTGAAGTGTGTTCGTGAGCGTGGNTGGTGAAGTAGCACGCGCCTTGCGCGAGGACCGCGGTGTTCTCTACTTCATCGCTCATATTCTGCCGATGCCAGTCTACCGTTCAGGCATGAGCGCCGAGATTAACCACGATAGACTTGGTGAGTTGAGGAGCGAGATCTACTTCAAACGAGAGTTCCGCCGCGTTGCAGGAGAGAAATCCACTGATCCACTTCACACGAGAGTTCCGCCGCGTTAGCCGTGTTGGGTCCGCCTCCGCCCGCCGTCGGAAGCGTCGGAACTCGAGTGCGGGTAGTTGGTGAAGTGTGTTCGTGAGCGTGGTGTGCTGGTGGTCTGTTGGTCGAAAAGCCCAGCCATTTTCGGGTAGGCGAGAGTAAGATCGGGTACCCCTCCGGGGGGTGAGTAGCCAAGATCGGGTGCACCCGGTGGGAATAGGGTCAGGGCCGGGTAGGTGCGGGCGTCGGCCAATCAGATGGCGCCAGGAGGGCGCTGCCGACTGTGAAAACAAGTGTACCCGATAATGGCCAGATTGGGGCCGGGTGTACCCGATTTTGGTCACTCCTACTACAAAAATGTAGACACGCGCCAACAAGAAGAGGCGGACAAACACAAACGCGAAAAAAAAAACTGTTGTGCACATGCTGGATTGTACTCGGAAAATACCAGCTGCCTCATACAGACAATTTCGAAGAGATTACTTGTTTGTGCAGAGTTTGCAGGGGCTCACCGGTTCCCCGCTGCCAATAGCGAACGAGTTGTAGACGTTCAGCGAGCCAAAGTGCTGGCGTCCTCTCGTTGTCTCTTTCCTCGATTCGGGGCCCCACGCGCCGCCGGAGCTGCTGCTGCTGCTGCTGCTGCTGCTGACCGCTTTCCGGATGCAAACGACGCGGCAGCGTGGTCTGAAGACAGTGTAGGGCGAGCGCTGTTGATGATGCCCGAAATGTCTCCACCAACCTGCGTGGTCCACTCTTCTTCCGAGAACACGACGCTGCTCCTCTGTTCCCACGCCACATCAATGGCCTCCCAGTCTTCGCTGGAGAGGGAGTTGCCCTCCCTCACATGTTTCTTGATCACCTTGTACTACTGTCGTTCAATGATCACGCCCTTTGCTTTGAGTGGTACGAGCTCCTGTCCTGGAGCTCCCTCAACGTCGCCAAGGGCAGCGACACGATTGCCCTTCGTGCAAACAGAGGGCTTGCTGCGTGGAACGCACCTGCCCGAGGCCCGAGGGGGTGTTCCGTGGTAAAGGCGAATTGTCTCTCCGGCGGCGAGGAAAAACTCGAATGAAAAACCGTTTTTGGATAGTCCACATGTCTAAAACGACGTTTAAAAGCATACAAAAAAGAGAAACAAAAAAAATGTGATCGGATCGCCTTGATTGTTTTTTTTCACCGCGTTGCCGATTTCGGCGCCTCCATCATTGCTCCTCGGCAATCGATTCCGCTTGGCCGATTTAGAGGGGGTAGGGCCACTCAGAGAGTTGATCAGACAAAAACTCGACGTGGGAACCGAGAATCCAAAATCCCAGGAATTTTGAAATTGCTCAGCTACTGTCAGCTTTTGAGCAGCTGAAAGTCCATTGCAAATCAAAACTGGGACCTTCCAACAATATATTGTGATCCCCACCCCCTATCNGCCGCGAGGCGTGCGTGTGGTGGTGGAGTTGGGTCGGCGCTGATGGGGTCGGGCGGGAAAATGCAGATGCGCGGGCCTTTCTGGCCGTCGGTGTAGGCAGTGATGCCCATCTCATTTTTGTGCGCGGAGGCAGACACCATCAGAAAGGTGGACGGGCGCTACACGGCCCTAGGTTTGCTAGAGGGAGCTGTATTGCCTCAGTAACCTGGCTTCGCCATCAAAGGAGGAGGGAGCAGGTGGCGACGAGCTGAACTGGGCTGGTTGACCCCTTCGGCGCGAGAATTTTTATTTTTCAGACCAAGAACCTTGAGTGCAACGAGGGAGAAAGCGAGGAACCGACTGGGAAGGACAGCAACGAGAGCGTGTACGGAGGGAGCAGGTCGAGTGGCGTTATGCTCGGGCTGACTACAGCGGCGCCGGACGGAGCAGCGGCACCGGAGCATGCGGGCGACATCGACCCGTGGCGCACGGACAAACATTTATTTCTATCTGTGTTAAATCAATTTTTTTCGTTTTTTTTCTGACTTTACGTGTTGTTGGTTTTGTGTCACTCGTCACTGGTTTT